TTTGTTATAGTATCATACTCTAACTTTATATAACCTACTTGTTATAGTATCAATCTCTAACTTTATATAACCTATTTGTAATAGTATCATACTCTAACTTTACATAACCTACTTGTTAGAGTATTGATTACTAGAATTCTTAGTTGCTTTTAATAAAGAGACTCTGGGACTGGAATCGAACCCAGGACCTCTGGCCAACAGACCTATGCTCTACCACCAAGTTATACAAGAGTAAGAGCTGTCCCTGTCATTCTTCCCTAAAATAGATTCTTCCTACAAGAAGGTTTACCGTGGATTTAAATCACGGGCCTGGAATCTCCTTTCATTTATTGGGTTTTTCATGTTAAAATTTAATGTTTAATATTGTCTTTTCATTTCTTCTACAGGAAATCAAGTTTATCTACCTTCTCTTCACTGACTTCCAGGGACTTCAGGTTATTTCCGACTATTCGTAATTCTTCCTCAAGACCAGTAATTTTACTGTAGAATAAACAAGTTTAAATCATAACTGAAATGTATTTTGTTAGAAATACACCTTTTCAAAATGATAATATATCAAAGTAAAAATTTACCGGGTCAAGAAAAAGTTTTGAAAGTCACAAGTGAAGCTGACTGTAGTTCATTAACACATTACAACAAGATGTTTACATTTAGTGGATTAAGTTTATTTGCATCTTAATGCTTAGAAGTTTTGGAACATTTGTACATTACAATATAGTTATCAAAAGAAACACTTTAATAACGGTTTAAGGTATATAACTGTGGAAATCATAATTTATTAAAAAAAAACACTCATTTTTAATTCAGTTTTCTGTACCTTACCCATCTACGATAAATACACATTCGTTTGTCGATTTTACAAACATAACATTTGATACCGTTATCTAAGACCGACAACCAAATGAAACTTGAGCAATTTGAAACCAGATAAAAGTACGAACATGTGGGGAGGGTTAGAGTAGCATTAGCTCATTTATCACAGGTGATGGAGATGAAGCCTCCACCGTGGAATATAGTATTCGTTATTTTTCATTTATTTTACACTACTTATAAACTTTACAAGAACAACAAAAAGTAAAATCTTTTTCTACCGATATCTTTTAAAATAACCAGTACAAACTCAAATACTGTTTTTGACTTATCACTTATGATTGTCAAAAATATCTTTGTGACGTAACACCTTCAACAGTTTTATGTTAATCAGTTTTTCAACCACCCATTTACAAAAGAGTAACCTCTCTCTCACCTCTCTCCTCCTTGTGCTCTCTCCTCTGCTCGTTCCAAGTCTGCTTCTAACACAGCAATCCTGCGAGCCATCTACAAATCATGCACACATGCACAGAGATTATTGACTATGCATCAATCCACAGGTTTTGTTAATTAAATCAGGCTAAACATACACCTGAAATTCTTTGGGACAGTTATTAACACAAAAATTAGACAATCTCTAGTTATGTTACTAAAACTTTCAGCAAATTAGTAAAATAGGCAACAACCTGGCATTATAAAAAATAACCCTGAAAATGGTTCCATTCCAACATTCATCATCTGTCAACTTATTCTGTTACACGATTCTAAACACCAGAATCAAAAATACTGGGGGGTGGGTTGCCATGCATGATTGTCACAAACTGGTTCTAGCTGTGTCTGACTTACGATTCACCAGTTTCATCACGTTCGTCCACTAGTTCCAGATCAGCCTCTACCATACCCAGTTTACGAACAACCTGCATGAACACAAGCAATGTTCAAAGCTTTCAGAAGTATGTTACCAGTTTCAACTAGAGAACCCGCACACAGAAAACAAGTAACACTACTGTATGTAAAACTGGACTTTCTCACACCAACACCATAACTAAGTAACAAAGACCACTTGGTTTTCACCATAATTACCTGCTCAATGAGAGACAAAAAGAGAAACACATGAAAATATGGTACATACAAAAGTTATATAATGTTTTTAATGGATAATGAAACTGTTGACTAACTGTATAAACTTATCTAAAACTAGTTAAATATACTGTCCATTTATCTGGGACACTGGAGGTAATTATACATGACCTTTATAATAAAGTGAAGTATTTCAACATGGCAACAACAGTAATATTCTGTTACTGTAAAACAGGGATTGGATTAGATCAACATGGCAACAACAGTAATATTCTGTTACTGTAAAACAGGGATTGGATTAGAACAGTGGTGGTTATCGTTACAGTTTGTAAAACAGGGATTGGATTAGAACAGTGGTGGTTAGTGTTACAGTTTGTAAAACAGGGAACGGACTAGAACACTAACCACCACTCCCTGTTTTACAAACTGTAACTAGTCCGTTTGCTAACCACCACTGTTTTACAGTTTGTAAAACAGGG